CACCACTTGGGGTATAAAGTACTGGGGGCTGTCTGTTGCGCCTTGGCCTGGGGGTGCGCATGGCGGTCCCTGGATAGATGTCCATTGTACGAGTGCAGAACCAGGGTAGAGTGGCCAGGACAATCCCTTTCCAACAATACCCTAGCTCCTATCAGCTGCCTGGATTTTCGGTACTATTCTGTCTTATTCTGTTTCCGAGCTGTCTGGAGCTTGGTGGCATAGAATGCTGGCTTTACTTTGTAGCTTCTTGAGCCAAACTTTGGCTAGCAGTGTGCTTGGATGTAGGCCGTCTTTAAGTAAGTTGTAGTTATAGTATTTTCTATGGTCACTCCCTGCGTCCTTTCTCCTTTTCTGAAGGTCCACGTTAAGTTTCGGAATATGGCGTAGAGGGACACCAAGTTCAGTGTTTATGTCCACAATGCCCTCGTTTATAAGGTTTATTTGAGAGAAGACGGTTTTGTCTTGGTCTTCGAATTCGTGTGGATTTGGGTGTATATTTGTTATATAATATTATATATATATATATATATGCCTTTTTATATAGCTCTCTATATATTTTATATAGTTTATATAGCCACCATATATCACAAATCCCAGCCAGATGTATATATATATATTCTGACAATCTGAAAACTCTGGCTGTTTTAATTTTCTTGATAAGTTTCTGTGAAGCCAATGTGTCTCGTTTTTTATGGTAGTACCTGCTTCGCACCAGAATTTTATGTCCGAGTAAGGTTCACACAACTCTCTTTTGAGACAGAAACCTTGGCTAGTTGACAATAGGACCAGTAAACCTGTTCTTTCACCCTTTGGTGTTTCGCTTGGCTTTGCCAGAAATTTCTCGAGTTTATTCTCTGACATAGGGGAGAACCTGAACCGCAAGAATTTTGTGCGGGGGAGGGGGGTAGGAGAGGGAATATAACTAATAATTGATTAAAATGTACTACAGAGAGGGGTAGGAGAGAGGCAAGTGGCCAGGACAATCCCTTTCCAACTTTCCAACAATCCTAGGGGCGTTTTGTGGGAGGGGTTCTTATAATACTTTTAAATTTTTATCAAATTGATAGTATTTTTAAGTGGCATGGGACGCCATAATTTGGCGGCAAAATTTCACAATGGCCAAAATGGCCGCCAACTTTGACAAACTGATTTTTACCTGTTAAACCTTGTAAAAATTTTAAACTACGCGTAAAATATATGTACACAGTCTACTTGAACGATAATTAAACTAAAAATAGTGATATAGTGCCTTAAATCTAGCTAAAAGGTGAAAAATATAAACTAAAACGTGCTGTGATATAAAGATGGGTGCTCCTTCATGGAATCCCGAATATGTTTGTTTCTGTTAGTCCAGTTACATCATATTTTTCTATGAACTCTGTAAATTCGTTAAAAGGTAGCCTGTTTTTAACACCACAAACACTTAAGGAAAGTATTTTCAACTTATTAACATTGTTCGTATTTACAGTACTGTTATTTTCAGTTAGCTGTTCTCCTGCGCGATCCTACCTGGGACGATCGGGTGTTGACCCTTGACGTGGCCGTTCCCCGTGAAGTTTCTCGGTTCGCTGGGTTTTGCTGGGCTGTAATTGTCTCGGGAGCGGATCCAACGGGTGGAATGTATCTTTCTTCGTCGATATAAAGTACATCACGGACAAGATGTATTCTCTTCTTTTTGTCTTTCCTTGCTTGACGCATCACTGGGTAAAGCTTCTTCCTTCTCTCTTCAATTTCTTGAGGGAATTGTTCATTTACCCAGATATTGGTTTCGCTGAGTCTCCTTGCGGCATTTGTGCGGATATATTCTCGGTCTTTGAAAAAGCTGAACTTAGCCACAGTATTCCTCGGGTACTCATTGAATTAACCCTGTGCACTCTTTCAAACGGTATCACATAATCCGTTCTGAATTTCCTCTGAATGAGATCCTGCCACACCCTCTCTGTATCTTCCCAGGCACGCTCTGGGATACCGGAGAACACGAGGTTATCTCTCATGGATCTTGCCTGGAGATCAATCACCGAATTTTGCAGTTTCTCGTTGACTTCTTTGACCGATTCCAATTCATCTTTCACTTTATTATCTGCAACTATCTGCATCTGTATGCACTGGTCTAGGCACTTCCTGTTGTTGTTGATTACTGTTCTATTCGCCTCCGCTGTCTCTTTTACCGCATCAAACACCTTACCAAGCCCGCTCACATTGGATTCTAGATTTTGATATTCATTTTTCACCACTTTAACATTCTCAGCTAGCCTGCATGCCTACAGGCGACTTCACCGCGTCCAGGGACCCTTGAATTTCTCTCAAAGACGCAATTTCCGCCTCAATTGCCGTCAACCTAGTTACAAGTTTTTCATTTTTCAGTTCAATGTTGGTAAGTTTCATGCTCATTTCAGTTAAAAGAGAGTGTATTGATGTCAAGTTTACTTCACTGTCCTTATTTTCACAAATTGTTTCATTACCATACATAACGGAGTAGGGATGGGTATAGCCAGAAATTTCGTATCGTCATAATCACGATTTCTTCCCAAAATATCACGATAATATCATGATATTTTTACAAGCAATTTTTACAATTATTCTAAATGAATAGTCATTATTTTTTGTAAAAATATGCTAGAAAAACAGAATTTCACTTTTTTTGAAATTTTTATGTACATAAAATTACTCATGTTTGGATGGTAAGATGACATTCTTTTCACTTTTTAAAATATTTTTTAGACTTTTTGTAGATGTAATTTGAAAGATTGAACAAATAAATAAATAATTCCTGGACTTCATAATATGTACCTAAATACCGGTATTTAGGTCTCTGTATCACGCATTAAAAAATCGTAATATACCGGTATACCGATAAAAATCGCACATCCCTATAACGGAGTGACTTTCCGCTAAAGTCTTTGTAGTGTCAGCTGCAGTTTCAGACATACTCAGTTTGTAAAGGAAAAGATCCAGAAAGTATCGAAATTCTGGCCACTTATTATTTACACTGTACTGTATGTACACTCGAAGGTGGGCTGAGTTCACGGGTGATCCGGGCACGTACATATTCAAACAATGGAAGTTTCTAATATTGCAAAAGTACTGCCAAATCATTGACAAAGTTAGTCAAATAATATCACTTTATAAACCACCACAAAACTACTTTAAACATAATATACACAATCAATTATCATGTTGTAAATTTTGCATTTACCTCCCCCTAGTAAATTCAAAATTTACAACATGATCATGTTGTAAATTTTGCATTTACCTCCCCCTAGTAAATTCAAAATTTACAACATGATACAATCCTCCTTACAATAGTGTTTATCCCATTTTTCACCGGAGCCAAAAATTAAACAGCTCTTGCCGACTCGGTGACCTCTGACCTCTCTCTCAACAAGAAGATGTTGTGCAGTTTGTTTTTAACTTTTCAACCAAAAAAAAAAAACAATTGTTAGGTTGTCAGAGAGTTATTTAAAAGGTTTCAATCAACCATGACGGTGCGCGTAACAACGTCACATTTTCATCATGCCACCTCGGTTATCGCCAAGGCATTATCACTGAATCCGATATTTATACAACAGACAATCATACTCATATTTTTTACATTAAAATTGACAGAAGTTCTCTGCTGTAACTTGGTCCGCGAGCTTGGCATTGATTTTAATCTCACACGCGCAGGTGCGCGTCATATGCGTAATGTTTTTAGCATGTTCACACTGGGAAAATGTAGCTGGTGTTTATTAAGACTTTTTTATAAACATTCACGGTACCAAACCAGCAAACCAGCTGGATTCTGTAAAATCTACCCTAAATCAAAAAATCGTGGGATTCATTGGGCCGGGGCCCCGGGGAATTTGTTGGCTTTGAAATGTTACAGCTACTCTCAACCATGCATATACCGTCGGAAGGCCGGGTTGAAAAATAATCCTATGAGAAAGATAAATACTCCGGTGAACTCAATGCACAGGAAGATCAAGGTTGTTACTGATGTACAATGGAGATTATAAGAATTTTTTTTAATTTTAATTGGGGGGGGGGGGTATCGACATATCAATTTCAATAACTGATGAATTATCAGTCAAAGTCAGACAAGGTTTTGATAACTTGTTGATTAAAAATACATTAAAATGTTTGATAACAATACTGGAAAATACATGTATATTCGAAATACATGTAATAGTAATTCAACAGTTTATTATGCCTTTCTTTATATCCTTTCAGTATATATCTATATCGGTTAAAGGGAGGCAATTCTACTAAATTTGAGATCTCAGATGAAACTGCAAGCATTATACAGGTCTGGTTTACCTTTTCTCGTGAAGAGTATATTTATCTATTTAAAAAACATAATGTGAGAGGTTTTTACAGGGAATGGAACCACAGTATATCATAAACAATAAAAAAAAAATTACAATTATATACATTTAATTTTATGATAAAAAATTATTTCTCTAGAAACAAGTATATGACATTTTTTTTGATAAATGAGTAAGCTATTTTCTGTATTTTTGGACAATGGATATTGTAGCAAAGCTAAACTTTTTTACTGTATGACATATTTTATATTTTCTCTAGAAAGTTCCTTTACAAAAGAATGCTGTTTTTTGGCAGCTGAATAGAAAAATGAAATTCATCTTCATTTAAATGTCTCTATTCCCAGGTTATGTGTTATTTCTTATGAAAAAACTGCATAAAAATTTTCAATTCATTGAATTTTATCAATTTTCTAATTAAACCAGTACAGAGACAAATACATTACACTGTTTAAACGAATTTTTTGTGTCTAACCCCCCCCCCTTCCCTTCTCTTCAATTTGCACGCTCAGAAAAACTATTTTACCAACCCCTCCATAAAACCTTTCAAAGCATAAAATTATATATTCATAATGTGAGGTAAATTATAATATGGAAAAGTCTAATCCTCTCTCTTTTCCCGACCCATTCCCATGCCCTCGAGACCCGTTGTTTTAAAATCCGGAAAAACAAAACGCGGTTTTAGCTTTTATTTAGTTTTGCAAATTGTCGGTTAAAGTCAGAAAGAAAGAAGTTTGTCAGAATTTTGACAGGAGATGAATATGTAATCTTTTATTTTGATGATTTATTTTTATTTATGGCAGTGAATGTGTAGAAATAGATCTGAACTGAATATTTAAAGTAATTTGGATTTCCAATCCGAATTATCTTGGGAAAAGCCGTTGATATCTCGTGTCATGTTTATGAATTTTTACTTCTCGCCAACTAAAAATCAATTTATCCAGGCCATTCTGCATATGTTCAGGATGTTTTTGGGATTGCAAAAAAAAAAAAAATGAGGGTGAAAATCAAATTATTTTTTTGACACTAAAATGTTGTTTACATTTTGTAGATTAAGGAGAAATACCCAGTCAGATTGAATGTTGGTAAAAAGTCCATCTAAGAAGAGCAGAAACATGAGCCCAAGTCACTGACCTTTAGAAGATAAATGACCTTTTGTGGCCATGGCAACTGAGATACCCCCTGACCTCTCAGAGGTGGTGACTTCTGGGAGAATAGGTCAAATTTCCAGCTTCTGTCCACAGTCATGGCGATCTCTGCACCAAAATGTGATCGAGCGTCGTAAACTCATCACCATGCTTGCGAGTCGAGTTCCTGGCTCGTTTCATTTCCGCACACAAACTACGCCCAATGGCACCAAGACGAGACTGTACTTTTTAGGCATGACCACCAAGGGACGTGAGAATACCTTACTCTATGTGGACCTTCCCTCCGCCATTCCCGATGCGCCCAGCGTCCTACCACAGTGGTCACTGTTGGAATCGTTCTCCGCCAGCCTTCCCACGTCGCAGCTGTCGCGGGAGGAACAGCTGATGAGGGAGAGGAAGCGGATGGGGACGTACGGAATCACGTCGTATGAACTGATAGAGCGGCAGGGCAAGTTTGTGTTCCCAGCCTCCAACTCCCTGTACACCTGTGTGGATACAGACATCACGGTGATTTTTAAAAATTTATTTACCCCATGTACTTTTACACGTGTTATTTGCATCATCTATTATTTGCAATTTGTCAGTTTGAAATCAATCCGTGACCATTAATTTTCACGAATAAGGAAGCCATTCTGCAAAAACAAAGCAAAATAAATGGTTTGAGGCGATTAATATTTGTGACGTAAATTAGGTCACGACACACGAATAAAAGTTGGTTTGCATGCAGTAATCGGGCTGGCAAATCCCATTGCCATTGCATGATGTCCATGCTAGGCTAGTGAAATCTAGGGGAGGTCAATTGAATTTTTAATAGGCACTAGTCCATTGGGCAACTGACTCAAAAATTTAATCAGTATTTAAAATAAGTAATAACTTATGATTTTATAGAATCTAAACTATTGTTTTGTCATAAATATTGTCTGTACTTTATCCCAACTTTATGCATTTTGTGGAACAGGTTTAAATCGAGATACTAGGGCAAATGAAATTTGATAGAGGAAATGCTTGGTGCCTATGGACAAGTGCTTGAAAATCTATGTATCAGCTCCAGGAGAACAAAAACGATTATTGTAAATGTATTCTTTAAAGTGTGTATGATATTTAAGGGAAAGTGAGTTTTGAACAAGTTAGTGTAGATTTGATTTAGTGCGTTTCTTTATTTTCTTAAATGTATATATAAGGAAAGCATTTAGCTTTGTACTTGAATTAAATAACAGAAGCTTCTCTCTGCCTAAAGTACTAAAAAGAATATGTTTACAGTATTATTCTTTAAAAAAAAAAAAAAAAATGAAGCAGTAGATGTTGATGTACAGGATAGAAATTTTCTTAAAAAATGCTTTGCTGTTTTTAATGAACTTGATGAAAGCTCGGTCTGTTAAGAAACTTTATTTTGTGTAATTCAGACCACAGAGCCGGTTTACCCTGTCAACATAGGGACCCAGGTGGAGGGAGCCAGACTGGACCCGAAGATCTGCCCGACCAACACCCAGATCCTGGCCTTCATCAACCAGAACGACGTCTGGGTCACCAATCTAGATAACGGAGAGGAGTGTCGTCTCACATTCACCAAGAAAGGTATTTTTATCTTAGGAGAGTTATTTGTTTGTAAAATTAGATTTGGAAAATTATTTACCAGCATTAAATTTTTAAGAGATAGGAGTGTAGATTCACATTCACTAAATAGGTATTTTTATCAGAGGTGAAAAATTTGTTTTGATGTAAAAAGAGATTCTTTCAAGAAAAATTTTCTAAGCATGAATGAGTGTATATCTGTGTACAATAAAACACATAAGTTATAATCAAGTTCCCAGGAAAGGTGAACTTGCTTCTTTGTAGACCTTAAGTTCATGATATACACCATGTACACAGTAATCAATGTTATATACCAAAAAATGGGTCCTTTGTAATTTTCCTTATATTGAAATTAAAAAATGAGTTATTAAATGTTTAATAAAATCTTATTTCTGTGTAGGACTTGGTAACTTGGAGGATGAACCGCTGTCCGCGGGCGTGCCTTCATTTGTTGTGCAGGAGGAATTTGACAGATACACCAGTTACTGGTGGAGCCCCGCCCCCTTACAGGGTCACGACCCTGATAATGACCAATCAGATTCCTCCTATTGTTTACTGTATGAGGAGGTGGATGAAGGAGATGTGGAAATTCTGAATATTTTTTCTCCGTCAGTGGAAGGGAGAAATGTGGATCAGTACCGCTACCCAAGGGCAGGTGAGGGTAGATGCAGAAGGAATTTTAAATTTAAATTCACTTAGTTTCATGGTGTCAAATTTTCATCGTTTGAGTTAATATTGGCTTGAGTGGAATTGTCTCTATGAGCATAATGAGTGAATAATGGTCTTTATACTACTTAAAAAAAATTAACATGGTGGGATCTTTTTGTACTACAATGTTAACAAAAATAAAACCTCCACCAAAATTACTATATATATGTATTTCAAGGTATTGTAAATAAGTTTTTATTCGCGAGAACTTTATTTTTAAGCAATTACGTGAGACAGTGTGCTCGCCAAAATTTAGTTCTCTTGTATAATACAATTCTTTATGATCATATAGAACCATAACCATACATGTAATTTGTGAACATTTTGTCTTGCTTGTTTAGAGTCAATGACTATCTCACGAAATAAGTTAATACTAAAATTTAGTGATCTACAGTATTGATTAGAGAATCTCATGGTGAGACTGTAGAGGAATTCTATAAGGTGACATGTAGGTGATATCAAAGATAATTTATCATAATTTAAAATTATGCTGATAATTCTTAAATGTTTCCAATCTGCATTTCAGGAACTCCCAATGCTAAAAGTGTTCTGAAGCTAGTCAAGTTTTCTCTGGGTTCTTCAGGCAAGGTCAGAATAATGTCAAGATTTCATATTTATTCTTATAACCACAAAGATAATGGATGCACTTTTTGGCCATGAATAAAAAAAATTATACAAAAGCGAATTAAAGGTTAAACCAAAAACAAATGTGTAAATTGAATATTAAGAAAGAATTAATTGAATAGCAGCTATAGGATGCATACATTTAAAGCTACATTATTGTATATTGTAATTTCATTAATATTAAAACTATTGACAACACCTTATGACCTCTCTTTACAGTTTGGTCAGGTCCAGCATTATCACCTATATGAACCACTGCTGACTTTTTTTCCCTGGATGGAATACATGGTTAGAGCAGGCTGGACCCCTGATGCTAAACAGTAAGTCAGGATTTTCTCCCTTTGATTGGAGTTCACATACACTGATCATGCTAAACAGTAAGTCAAGATTACCTCCCTTAGGTTGAAGTTTACATAATTTATAGGTTGTAGTGTTTTATGATAGGGGTGTGCAATATTACCGGTATATCGGTATATTGCGGTATTATCCACCACGATAATATATCGCGATATGAAAATCAGATACCGGTATTTCACGATATTTATAAAAATATATAAAAACCTCCTTTATTGTAGAAACTGTTAAAATAAAACTGGAAACTTCTAAGTCTTTTTCTTTCTCGTTGAAAGAATTCTTCGTCAGTTTCGTTCGGGAGAGAGAAAGCGAGAAGAGAGAGAGAGGGGGGGGGGAGCTTTTAATTCACTGTTGCAGTTTTGAATATCTTACTTTGAAATAAATGACTAATGAATAAGACTTTAAAATAAAATTTATAAGGAAGAAGATATATAAAACATTTTTACAGGGTGTATACCATATGCATTGCGGTTCTCAAAATCTCACATTGAATCTACACGATCGACATCGCGGTGAAATGTCAAGTTCAATATACATGTACATATTACAAGTAAATGGACATCCATGTTTTCACTTGTAGCAGTGTTGTTTTAATTATTTTTAATAACTTTCATGCCATTTTAAACACCTTATGCTATAGCAGGAGCATGTATATATTAAAACAGGCCATTTCCTGATTGAACGTCTTGACGTGAAATTAGGTCGGGTTAGACTAAATTACCAAAACGCACGAAAACAGGTCACAATTTCTTTCTGGTTTTTTAAATTTTATTTTGTAACCACAATAAAATTATTTTCATATAGGCCTAATATGTATATTGTTTTAATCTTTCATAACATTGTATGCTACTTCATTAACCCCCCCCCCCCCTAAAAAAAAAGAATTCAATGAAAAAAGATTATATAATCTGTAAAAAAAATTTATTTTAATGTGAAAATTCTCCAAGAGAGTTCATCTTGTTTTACTATTTTACCTGGAATTTGATTAAAAGTAAAGTGTTAATTTGGTGTGCAATCAATGTCTTATCCCTCCTCCCACTTTTAAACTAAAAGATAAATTCAAATAGTCTTTGAACTTGACAGCATTTCAAACATTCTGCTCAAATTTATTAATGATAATTAATCTACAATATATTGCAATATATTGCAATATTCAAAGTAAAATATTGCAATATATCGCAATATGGATTTCCTTCGCAGTACCCAACTCTATTTTATGATTCTTACCTCAGGTTGACAATAAATATCTGAGAGGTTCACTATTGCTTGCAAAAAATTTTTTAACCACAAATCTGTTATTCAGCTGTGAATTTGATATATAGATTGTTGCTTCAGTAGAAAAACTTAAAAGTCACAGATATATTTCAAAGTTGTGAATTGAGATTAAAAGATGTCACAAATTATAACTGTCTACAGTACATATATATAATTTTGTGTTATATATTTTCAGTGTGTACGCAGAGTTGCTGGATAGAGAACAGAAACACTTGAGTGTTGTTTTGATTCCCGTTGATTTTTTTGTCCCCGTTCAGAGTTTTGGTGATGAGGACATGAACGTTGATTCTATTAGAAAGGCTTTCCCCTCACTCAGTGTGATATATGAAGAGAACTCGGATATTTGGGTCAATGTGAGTACAATTAAATCCGAATAAGTATTTAATGTTCATATGGTTTCAACTGTACAAAGCTTAGCGATCATCTGAATTAGTATTTTGTACATATTTACGTATCACAAAGACTATAATTTTAAAATGTATTTGAAAAGAACCATACATGTTTCATCTAATGTATATACATGCTTAAGTGAAGATGTTTGAAAAGAAATGAAAATTACCGAATGTTAATGATTTTTTTATCTTTCATTTGACACATGATGATGTATTTTAATCTATGGAAATTCATTTCAGACTCATGATATTTTGCATTTTTTACCTCACTCGGTGCCTACGGAGGTGAAGTTTCTGTGGGCCTCGGAGAAATCGGGCTTCCGTCATTTGTACCGCGTCACGTCAAAGTTAGAAAGCTGTGATAAACGACTGTGTGCCATGGATCTCTTAGAGGAGAGACAAGGTAATTAACACAACTAGGGTTAATGAATTCTTACTTTAAAAGTGGTGTGCTCAATGTTAACAGTGCAACTTGTTGGACATGTATTTAACAAAATATACACAAATAATTGTATTACTGGTAATTTATAGAAAAAGTGATAACTGTAGAAGCAGAAATATTCATGGGTGATAAAATTTCGTGCATTTTTATGTAACCCTTACTTTCAATTTGCAGCTCTCCATCTCCATATGAAAAACTTGAATTGACATTTACCAACATACAAACAAACAAACAGATTCTCTGAAATATTGTCTCATTGATACAATCAAATGTTATCTTTTTTCTTGCAGATGGACTGTGTAAAGCAAATGTGATACAAGAAGAGATGCTGACCTCAGGAGACTGGGAAGTCAATGGAAAACAGGTCAGGTCAAATAAAAATAGAAACAGGTCAGGTCAACAGGACAAAATTGTTGGATCAATGGGATTTGGTTTGATTATGTAAAAAATGATTAAGTGAAAAACTTCCTTGTTTTTATTGAAGAGATTGTCATTTTAATAGAGTTATCTTTCTTGGTATATGAATTAAAAACAAAAGATTATATGAAAATGTCTGTATGCTGTATTTAACGGACTGTTAGTAAATGAATTCTGATTTTCAGATCTGGGTAGATGAGGAGAGAGAAGTTGTTTATTTCATTGGTCTAAAGGACAATGTTCTGGAAACACATCTGTAAGTTGGATTTCAGTATATTATTCACTGATATTGGATATGTCAAAGTCATTTGAAAGTCCCAAGATTTGATTTAACATATTTACTTATGTCCCTTTTTATATATACATGTTCAAGACATTTAGCGTACTTGAATTACTGGAAGTTGCTTTCTGCAAAAGCCGATATAAAGAATAAACAGCTAATTATAATATAATTCCTTTACAGTAATCTTGTATTATCAAAATAAAAAATGTCATATCTTTGAGGCTTGGCTGTAAATTTCCTTTCTATATTTAGGTATGCAGTGTCGTATGCCAGATCTTCAGAACCAGTCCGACTCACCACGTTAGGGTATTCCCACTCTGTGTCTTTCAACTCTGTAAGTCTGTTATAGTTTCTATTGTATTCAACATAAAAAAGCATGTTTACACTCAGTCCTAACTTGATAATTCTCCTAATTCTGTATATAAATCAGTAAATTTTTATGATTCTGCCAGGACTGCCTTTCCTTTGTGAGTGTATACAGTTCCGTCAGTGAGACGACTTCCTGTGCTGTATATAGGATTCTCCATGACAATGACGGCCCGATAAGAACAAGGACCTGGGGGATAATAATGCCGCCCATAGGTTAGTGTCGAATTATTTGATATTAAGGATGCTTAACTTGGAAATAGAATCCTTTTATTTTGTAGGTGTTTATAGATTAATCTACTTGTAATTGTTCAAATTTAGCAATGTCTTACTTTTGAAAATCATTTTTTTCTAAAATTCATTCTAATGTTTAGTCGTGCAAACTCAATTCAGCTATCTAAAGTGTTTAAACATGTACAGTTTTAGAAGACTTGCACTGTCAAGGATGTCTTGGTTTTTCACTGTAAGTCTATGGTGGACTTTAAGTACACTTTGACAGTTTTCCATGGAACTACATGTACTACATAGTGTAAATAAATCCCACACATATATATGTATCTCTACAGTAGCAGTACTCTCTGCAGAGGAAGGTCTTTCAGTATGAGTTTTAACATTAGTTCAGTGGTTCCTTGTTTGTAGGTTGCCCAGACTATCACGCCCCTGAACTGTGTATAATTAACATTCATTCAGTGGTTCCTTGTTTGTAGGTTGTCCAGATTACCACGCCCCTGAACTGTTTAAATATCAGAGTGACTCGGGGTTCATCCACCACGGCTTGTTCTTCCACCCCCACGGAAAGGAGGAGGGCAGGAAGTACCCCACAGTCCTGATGGTGTACGGAGGACCCCAAGTTCAACAGGTCACGAACAGCTTTAAAGGAATTAGGTCAGTAGAGGTCAAAAGGTCAGATTTAATGTCAGGTTCAAGGTTGAAAGGTCAATCACTTGGAAGGATTTTCATGATCTGTACTTAATTCTTTAAAAAGAACTTTATTCGGTAATAACCAATATTTGCCCCCCAAATCAAACTTTAATGGAGATATACTTAATTAAGTTCTTAAAAAGTATATGCTGACTTCAAAGCACTGAATATTTTCATAAGTAATGACGCCATAAGTACGTAATGACGTCACAAACATGACGTAAATTTCAGTTTTCTATGAATTTTACAGAAAAATGTACATATTTCGCCAATATTTTGAGTAAAAGTCACCGAGCGCATGTGTGTTCAGGAACAATATTTTGATATAGTGTGTAGAATGATAATATCAATGAAATATGTCAATATTGTTTTAATCACAAAATATTAATAATATAAATTTTAAAGCTAAAATTGTTGAAATTTTGTCCATTTTGTCCTCTTTCTGAAAAAGGATATAAAATCGGACTAGTTTGTGTCGTCATAAAAACAAAAATTGTGAATATACTGCTTTGACGCTATAATATTTTCTGTTAATTGATATTTCACATACAATTATTTGAATTCAGCACATTTCAGGAAGTTTTCAAAATCTGACTTTTATGGGGGCAAATATATACAATATACCGCATATAGTTCTTTGCTTTAAGATTTTGACCATTATTTGTTATTTAATTTTATTTTAATTAAATAAAAATTCTTTTGTCTAAGATTACACATTATTGAAAAAGAAAAATTGGAGGAAAAATTTAATGGTCTCTTAACATTTTCCTTATGAGATACTGATTCAAAAAAAATATTTTTTTGCTTGATATGCTGATATTTTGAGGTCATATCTTGCAACTTATATTTGATATTTATCTGTAGTATACAATAATTTTTATTTCTTCAACGAGCGAGGGAAGTTTAAAATGGGAGAGTGAAAATATTTTTATTACAAAATACTGATTATCAGATTATTGACTATGATCAATATATGAACCAAATTTTTTTCTACTGTTGATTTTGTTTTCATACTAGATGAATTTTTTTTTTCTTTAGGTTTTTGCGGCACCATGCGCTTGCCTCTAATGGTTATGCTGTAGTTGTGATTGATGGGAGAGGATCTTGTGGGCGGGGCTTAAAGTTTGAGTCCCACATCAAAGACAGGCTGGTGAGTATAATATCATCAAATGACTGAAGATATTGACAGAATAATTTTTTTTATTAAGATAGGTGACACTTTTATTAAGAGTCAATGTATAAATTTTTTTTGGAAATTTTGTGCATGTGAGTAAATCATTGTGACATTTACGGAGTTTATTCAACTTTACAACTGTATATTTGTAGGGAACTTTGAGATTGGACTGTATTGTCTATGATAGTCACTGTATATTTGTAGGGTACTTTGTCTATTACTATATATACTTTATAGGGTACTGTTGAGATAGAGGACCAGATAGAAGGGCTGAGGTTCCTGTCCTCGGTCGGGTTCTGTGTGGACATGGAGAGGGTGGGGATCCACGGCTGGTCCTACGGAGGCTACCTGTCTCTCCTGGGGGTCGCTCAGAGACCCGACGTCTTCAAGGTACACACTAATCTACTACTAGTACACTGATAGTGTAAATCAAGGGTGACTACAATGATCATAGTGTAAATCAAGGGTTGCACTACAATCATAGTGTAAATCAAGATACACACTACATTCAATTTGACAGTTTAAATCAAGCTACACAGTACTATTATCTGCTGTTTTACAGGTGGGTATAGCTGCGGCACCTGTTGTTAAATGTTACAAGGTATTCATTATTGTCTGCTGTTTGACCTGTTACAGGGGCTGACAAATAGATTTTTAAGGCACTAGTCCAAGGGCAAGTACATGGTCAAAGTTGACTTGCCCTACCTGAATTTTTGCTTGCCCTACCATAAACTAATTCCGTTTTTATAGGTATTTCCAAAAAGAGGAAGACAAATGCTGAGCAAGCCCCCTTGCCCAGCTTTAAAATGACCTACAAATAAATTTTATTTTTTTGATAAGTCACTTGCCCATGGGCAAGTGGTTGATAAAATTCAACTTGCCACAGTATTCATTATTGTCTGCTGTTTGACAGGTGGGGATAGCAGGGGCACCTGTTGTTAACTGGCAGCTGTATGACACGGGATACACAGAGAGATACCTGAACGTCCCCTCTCAGAATGAGGCTGGCTACAGACAGGGGTCTGTACTCAGTCATGTGGAAAAGTTCCCAGATGAGTAAGTCTCAGAATTATTTTATAGTGGACATGTGTTCATCTGTGTGAATGCCTGTAAAAATTTATCAAAAAAGAAATATTTTTTCTTTTCATAGATCTTAAATCATATTTTAATGTTAATCTATTTCTTGCTTGCAGGGAAAACCGAATTTTGATCATCCATGGATTAATTGATGAGAATGTCCATTTTCATCACACCAGTGCCTTAATCACAGCTTTAGTAAAAGCGTGTAAACCATACAGATTACAGGTAACTCATTACAAGCTTGTAAACCCTACATTTTACATGTACAGCTACATGAAGCTTATTACAATCTTGTTAGCCATACTGACTTCAGATAACTCTTTACTTGGCAAACCATTCAGATAACAAATTACTTACTACAGGCTTTTAAACCCTACACATTACCTAACAAACTTGCAACCATACAATTACAGGTAACATTACATTACAAGCTTGTAAGCCATACAGATTACATGTAACTTATTACATTATTACAGTATGTAAACCATGCAGATTACAGAAGAATTATTATATTACAAGCTTGTAAACCATACAGTTCACAGGTTACTCAATCAAGATGACCAGTATCCAAGTTTCAGTAAAAGCAGCTTCAATTATGTAGCCTTCTGATGTAATTTATACATAAATTCTGTTTCAGATTTACCCAAATGAACGACATGGTATTCGTAACCACGAAGCCAGTGAACACTACAAGACAATGATTCTTAGCTTTCTACAAAACCATTTATGAGACTACATACACACTTAATATGTATTTCTTTTAAAATCAATGACTGAAGATGTATGACATGAGAATGCTATTATGAAGAGCATGGGAAATTTTCTCCAAAATTGTTAACCAAAGATGGGGAGAAGAATTTATAAATTCTATTGAATTTTTTATCATGTTTTTTTCATCTTCCATTTGTTTGCTTACATGCTAAGCATCATGGTATACATAATTATGTAGTCAAAGGACTAGAATATGAAGTGGACAAACAAATGCTAACCTTATTTAACCTTGAGCTTGAACATTGAGGAACATTGATCTGTATGTTTTTCTATCTTGGTTTAAATATAAGCTTCAAAGGAAATTGTTATAGGAATGATAAAAGTTTAATATGTCAGTGTAGAAGTGGTTTGAGCGATTTTGTCATCTCAATTCAGATTTATTTTTCATAATTTTTTCTTCATCCCTTATCTACTATTTTATAAAATCTTCCCAAATTAAGTCACCATTCTGTCTTTTTAATGCCATAATCATTTGCTTGGATATCCAACTCTCTCTCCCTGCACTGAGTGAATGTTTTAAATCTTGTTTTAACAAGGATAGAGCTTTAATTTTTTCTAGAATTTATATGTGGTCGGATATAATTGCTTTCACTTTGGTAAATTAAAGTAATTTTTTCCACCATTTAAAGGGGGGGGGTGTTATGCTTTGCTTTTTTTTTTGTTTGGTACATTAATTATTGGTAAGTTAACAGAGTGTTGCTTGCTCAATAATTAAAAAAAAGTCATGTGCTTCAAAGACATCAAACTTGGTTCACTGGTGTAACCTGAGAATGAGATGACTCCTAATGAGTTTAATATGGTCAAACGGTCATAGATCAAAGTATCATAGATGTAGAAAATCTTGTTTATTTAATGTATTTGGATCCTTCATGATCAATTGACAGACATAAAACATGTAAGGTGCTCCCAATATCAAGTTAATGAGTTAAACTCGACATAGGAAGAGACTGACTGCTTGATGTCTTGAGATTTTTTGTCACACTTTGTGTTCAGTTCTAAATGACCTGTAGATTTGAAAGTCACAATATCAAAGGTCAGGGGTAAAACTGGACATCGAAATAAACAGTCCCTTCAGTATCTTGAGGACCCTGTCCTTTACTTGACATCAACTGGTTCCCATGAAAAAAATTGACACCTATTGATTTTAAATTCACAAAATATCAAAGGTCACACTAATCGAAGAATTAAAAAAATTGAAATTCATTAATTTCAAAATCCTCTTCTTGTTAATCCTTGAGAGAACATTTGTTGTACATTTGTCTATGACTTTTAGAAGATTTATTGTTTACTATTATTACAAACATTCTAAATTTTACACCCCTTGTTTATAGCTTTGATCTTTGTTTTACGGGTACTGTTTGTGTATTTCATATGGGGAATGCAAAACTTTGTCTCACTAATGAAAGTGATGTTTAATTTCCTGCACAGTTCTTCACTAGAAGGCACATAATTTTATCGTATTGAACATATGAGTCAAAGAAAGGACAAACCAAGTACATGTAGGTTTTGCATCTCCTTGTACATCTTTAAATTCTTATTCAATGAGTATTCTCATATTAGAATGACATTTTTTTTTTCAAACTAGTTTGTAAAAAGGTGAAATAATTATTTTACTTCCTGATTCAGGTCAGAATCATTAAGATCTCTGATTTCTCTGTCACTTGTTTCATATATAACCCATGTCAATGAAAATTCGGCTTATCTTGAACAAAAATTGGATTTAGAGATATTAGGGCAAACAAAGTTGATTTCTTAAATAAAACTTTACTCTTAATATATATATCAAGTAGGTCTTCGTATATGCTTTTCCATCACATTGATATACCGATTATTTTATTATAATTAACTTTAAATCTTTTGAAAAAAATTGTAGAATTAACATCACATATATCTTGCATTTTAGACCCACTTCAATCTGTGTTGACAATCTTATACTCAGGTTTGTGCGAATGGCGTCTGAGTTTAATTCTCTTGTTTATTGTTTAACAAGGTGATTTCAAATTCTGTGGCAAAAATATGGAGACTGCATGATAATCTGTGCTCATGTAAACTCATTCAGTTCTCCATATGTTATACAATCTATGTTTGTGTTCTGTGGCTTTAATTAACAAGTAGTTCCTGGTTGGCTTAAGAATTTGTAATTCACACTAAGTAATACAGAGGATTTTGATTGCCCCAGTACTTAAGTTGAGTGTTAATGACAAATAGATCTTGTGAAATACATACTTGTAATGGGATTACTTTCCTCTTGATAAGAAGAGCACATAGAGATGTGTCGCTTTCAAGCTTGTCGTTTTCATCAAAACATGTCTTTTTATTTAAACAATAAAATGCTTTCTTTGTTTGTTATTACTGGAATGAACGGAAGCAGCTATTGTAGAAAAAACATTATGTGGGTTATGTAAATTTTTTCTGCAATAGCTGCGACCGTTCATTCCAGTAATAACAAACAAAGAAAGACATTTTATTAAGGTCTTCCGTCTTCAGTGGAAGACCTTACTGTTATTCTTAGGTTTCTTTTCCACTATTTTTAAGGTCTTCCGTCTTCAGCGGAGGACCTTCTTGTTATTCTTAGGTTTCTTTTCCACTATTTTTATTATTAAGGTCTTCCGTCTTCAGCGGAAGACCTTCTTGTTATTCTTAGGTTTCTTTTTCACTTTTATTAAGGTCTTCCGTCTTCAGCGGAAGACCTTGTTGTTATTCTTCGGTTTCTTTTTCACTTTTTTTCTTACCTATTATTATTCTTTTTTTTCTTACCGATTTTGTGCACGCGATTTCTCGAAAACGGCTCGATGGATTTCCATGAAACTTTCAGGACTCATGTAACATTACTTGAACTTGATTCATTTTTTTCCGTTTTGATGACGTCACTTCCGGTCCGGAAATATTGTCGATTTTATGATTTTTGAAGGGTCAGGTTGTCCGCGAACGTTCTAATAAACTGGCTTATAGATAGAAACGTGAAAATTTCAGGTATGATAGTCCTAAGTCTATAGATGTGCAAAATGAATTTCATTTTTATCGGAAGTGCCGCGCGTCAGCGCTCGCTATGGCCCGAAAATTGTCCTATCGCGAATTTCAAAATTTTTACAACCTTTTCTATGATATCTTTTTACTTTGAAATATTTTGTTATAACATATAGAACAAAAGAAGTGTAGACTTCCAAGATCTTTCAAATGATATCTCGAAAAAAGGGCTGGCCCCTAAAATTAAGGGACTGGAGGGGCCATAAGTTTTTCCTTTATATCTCAAAAAGTGTTGAGAATTTGTAATACATCAAAGAAGCAAAGTTGTTTAAAATGTCAAGCTTAATCTACGGGCGTCGTCAAAATACGTCCGATGACGTCACTTCCGGCAAAACCGGAAGTAGTCGGAAAACGCGTATTTTGGTCATTCTTGACAAGTTTTTGGGTATCTTATGTCACTAGGAACATAAAAATAAATTTTCCGTCCGTCGTCGTCACTTCCGGTCAAACCGAGAGTAGCAAAAATGGCTTATTTTTGCATTAATTAACATAGATTTTGAGGATTCAACCAATTTTGGGGCGTTATTTCTCATATTTGTTAAAAATGAAAACTACTGGTCAAACAGGACGGAAGACCTACTCGTTGCTTTGCAACGAGCTTTGCTCTAGTTAAGGTCTTCCGTCTTCAGCGGAAGACCTTATTGTTATTCTTAGGTTTCTTTTTCACTTTTATTATTATTATTATTATTCTTTTTTTTCTTACCGATTTTGTGCACGCAATTTCTCGGAAACGGCTCGATGGATTTCCATGAAACTTTCAGGACTTATGTAACATAACTTGAACCTTATGCGTTTTTTTTCGATTTGATGACGTCACTTCCGGTTTGGAGATATGGTCGATTTTGTGATTTTTGAAGGGTCAGGTTGTCTGCGAACGTTCTCAGAAATGGCTATAGATAGAAACGAGAAATTTTCCGGTATGATAGTCCTAAGTCTGTAGATATGGGAAAATGATTTCATTTTTTTCGGAAGTGCCGCACGTCGGCGCTGGCTATGGTTCGAAAATTGTCCTTTCGCGAATTTCAAAATTTTTGACACCTTTTCTACGATATCTTTTTACCTGGAAATATTTTGTTAAAACATATAGAACAAAAGAAGTGTAGAATCCCAAGATCTTTCAAATGATATCTCGAAAAAAGGGCTGGCCCTTAAAATTAAGGGCCTAGAGGGGTCAAACGCTTTTCCTTTATATCTCAAAAAGCATTGAGAATTTGTAATACATCAAAGAAGCAAAGTTGTTCGTAATGTCAAGCTCAATTTACTGAGGGAGTCAAAATACGTCCGGCGTCGTCACTTCCGGCCAAACCGGAAGTAGTCATAAAACACGTTTTTTTGCCGTTCTTGACAGGTTTTTGGATAACATATGTCTCTGGGAGCATAAAAATTAATTTTCGGTCCATCGGCGTCACTTTCGGTCAAACCGGAAGTAGCAAAAATGGCTTATTTTTAAGGTTTTGATGCAAAATTGAAATTATAAAGTTACTGGAGACTACTTATGTCATTGCTTTCTTTTGTTCCGTGAATTCCGGCACTTCCGGTCAAAACCGGACGGAAGACCTACTCGTTGCTTTGCAACGAGCTCGGCTCTAGTTATTAAGGTCTTCCGTCTTCAGCGGAAGACCTTCTTGTTATTCTTAAGTTTCTTTTTCACTTTTATTATTATTGTTTTTTTTTCTTACCGATTTTGTGCACGCGATTTCTCGAAAACGGCTCGATGGATTTCCATGAAACTTTCAGGACTTATGTAACATCACTTGAACCTTATGCGTTTTTTTCTGTTTTGATGACGTCACTTCCGGTACGGAATTATCAGCACAAAATTGAATTTTAAAGGTCAGTTTGTCCGCACGATTTCTCCTAAACGACTTTAGATAGACACGTGATACTTTCAGGTCTAGTAGACCTATGTCTGTAGATTTGTGGAATGTATTTTATTTTTACCGGAAGTGCTGCACGTCGGCGCTCGGTATGGCCTGAAAATAGGCCTATCGCGAATTTCAAAATTTTTAGCACTTTTTCTACGATATCTTTTTACCTGGAAATATTTTGTTAAAACATATAGAACAAAAGAAGTGTAGAATTTTAAGTTCTTCCAAATGATATCTCGGAAAAAGGACTGGCCCTTAAAATTAGGGGTCTACAGGGGCCGAAAGTTTTTCCTTCATATTTCAAAAAGTATTGAGAATTTGTAATACGTCCATGAAGCAAAGTTGTTCAAAATGTCAAGCTTAATCTAATGGAGTCGTCAAAATACGTCCGTCGACGTCATTTCCGGCCAAACTGGAAGTAGTCGAAAAACGCGTATTTTACCGTTCTTGAAAAGTTTTTGGGTAACATCTGTCACTGGGAGCATAAAGATTAATTTTATGTCCGTCGTCAACACTTCCGGTCACAATGGAAGTAGCATAAACTTCCGGTCAAACAGGACGGAAGACCTACTCGTTGCTTTGCAACGAGCTTTGCTCTAGTTATTATTATTATTATTCTTTTTTTTCTTATCGATTTTGTGCACGCGATTTCTCGAAAACGGCTCGTTGGATTTCAACGAAACTTTCAGGACTTATGTAACATTACTTGAACCTTATGCATTTTTTTCCGTTTTGATGACGTCACTTCCGGTTTGGAAATATTGCCGATTTTATGAATTTTAAAGGGTCAGGTTGTCTCCAGACTTTCTCAATAATGGCTCTAGATAGAAACATGAGACTTTCAGGTATGATAGAGCAAAGTCTATAGATATGCGTAACGTCTTTCGTTTTTACCGGAAGTGCAGTACGTCGGCGCTGGCTATGGCTCGAAAAATGACAAATCGCAAAATGCAAAATTTTTAACACCTTTTTTACGATATCTTTTTACCTGTAAACATTTTGTTTAAACATATAGAACAGAAGAAGTGTAAAATTTCAAGATCTTTCAAATGATATCTTAAAAAAAGGGCTGGCCCCTAAATTTAAGGGCCTAGAGGGGCCAAAAGTTTTTCTTTCATAAGTCAAAAAGTATTAAGAATTTGTAAGAGGTCAAAGAAGCAAAGTTGTTCAAAATGTCAAGCGTAATCTACTGGCGTCGTCAAAATATGTGCGGCGTCGTCACTTCCGGCTAAACCGGAAGTAGTCGGAAAACGCGTTTTTTTGCCGTTCTTGACAAG